CTGATCACCAATATCTACATTCCTTGATTCCTTCTGGAAATTTCTCTGCCAAACATTCTAGTCATTTTGCATCTTGGAAATGCCAAGAAACACCTTCTCATCAATACATGGGAATGTGGCGGTGTCTATTTTGGGCTGAGACAGCCAAGAACCAGTTGGCCTCCTCCATGCTCTTACAATTGAACTAAATGATTTATCTAGTTCATGAATATAGTTTAATTAATACATACAATACCATCAATACTTAAGTCCCTAGCAAAGGGGAAGACGTAATCAGAATACCTTTATATCACTTCTTCTTTACTCATCCATCCCTGAAAGTTCACAAATGTGTTTGTATCCCTTGCTTAAGGACACTTGACACCATGTATTCATTAAACATTTATGTGCATAGTGGTTCCATGTGCTGCTGGCCTTGACAATGGTTGAACATAACTAAGCAAGAGTACATTGAGACCTTTTAGTATTGCATCCTGGGGTGTGTGTGTGTGTGTGTGTGTGTGTGTGTGTGTGTGTGTGTGTGTGTGTGTGGCAGTCAAAGCACAACCACAGATGTCATAATACCTCAAGCACCATTCAGTCACATTGCTTTTGAGACAGGCTCTCTCTCTGGCCTGGAGCTCACCAAGTAGTCTAGGTTGGCTTATCAGCAAGGGCCTAGGATTCACCTGTCTCTGCTTCCCCAACACAGGGCTTCTAAGCACAAGCTAAGCATGTGCCACCACACCTGGGTTGATTTTAAAAAACAAACAATATTGGTTCTGGGGATCAAACTTACACCCTCACACTTGTAAAGCACGCATGTTACCAACTGTGCTTCCTCTCAAGCCCCCATTCATACCTTCTAGGTGCTGCGCTGAGTCACTGCTTGGCTGTGACAGAATTACAAAGGAAGATACGTTTAGACAAAGCATAGGCTTCCTCTCCCAGCCATGTGAGCCTCAGCTGAAGCTTCTTGAACCATCCAACAGGCCAAACAAGGCCACCCAAGATCCTTGTACTCTCTTTTTATTTGTTTCAAGTTCATACCGATCTTGATCTCCCAATTCCCTTCTCGTTTTCTCTAATACAGGCACTTCCCATAAACAAACCACATTTTGACATTTGCTTCTTGAAGAATGTGGACAAATACACACTAGCATATTTAAAGTAAAGTCACAGGAAATTCTCCCTTATTGTTGTCTGAGTATTATATATATATATATATATATATATATATATATATATATATATATATATATTGTATATATATATATCATATATATATAGGGACTGACTGGATGGCACAGCCACTAAAGGTACCTGCTACCAAGCTTGATGATGTAACTTTGATTCCCCCAGAATCCACATGATGGAAAGAGAGAATCAACACCTGCAAGTTGAACTCATAAATGAATTAATAAAAGATATAACTGTAGAATGGCACATGGAATTATATTAGTGCTGTAAATAGGAAGTTTAGAAAATGATAAAACTAATTTATTTTTATGATAGATTCAAACCAGTATAGTTACAAACTGACAGTTTCCATATCTGGGCTACTGTTAGAAGTGAACAGAATGAACTCAATAATTAGTCCTCACTGGGGAATTGTCAGGCTGGATCTTTGTTCCTATGAGAAACCCCAACATAATCCATATGACCACATCAGCTACTCTATAAGACTGTGGTACAAGTCAAGTACATCATCTGGTTTTATACCACCTGGAAACTGTTTTCTTCAACCAACAAGACTTCACTGTTTTCAGTGCCATCAAGAAACGATGCAGTTAACTTCCAGGTGGTCAGATTTGTCCCTGAGAGTCTTTGGAAGAATGGAATCCACTAGGCAATGTGAGAAAAGCGTTAATCAGCACCACAAGGGATGTTGTCTTTGAATACACTATGTGTTGCATCCTGTCATATACATGCTAATAATAATATTCCAACTTACTAGATACAGACCCTAGACCACTTGTCAGCATTATGAGACCATAAATAATATAACTATGTAAAATAAGTTTAGGATTGAGTATGGGAGCTAATAGCTGATAACTGTAATTCTGTAGTAGTCTATCAAACAGATTAATGTTTCATAAGCCATTATCACACTACTCATAAATATTTTATAATATACTCTACTTTCCTATCAACTATATAGTTTGGAAACATAAATCTTTGTTCTAAAATCTTTGAATCTTTAGATAAATATTTATGGGGAATAAAAACCAAAAAGAAGGAACATTAGAAGAGCAAGATATAGATAGATAGATGATAGATAGATAGATAGATAGATATAATAGATAAATAGAGATAGATAGATAGATAAATAATAGAGAGATAACAGATAAAGATAGAGAGATAGATAGGTAGATAGTATAGATGATAGATAATAAAGATAGCTAGATAATAGATAGATGATAGATAGATAGATAGATAGATAGATAGATAGATAGATAGATAGATGATAGATAGATAGATAGATAGATAGATAGATAGATAGATAGATAGATAGAAAGATAGATAGAGATTGATGAAGATAGATAGATAGATAGATAGATAGATAGATAGATAGATAGATAGATAGATAGATTAGAGATAGATAGGTAGATAGATAATAGATAGAAGATAGGGATAGATGATAGATAGATAGATTGATGGATGGATAGATGGATGGATGGATAGATAGATAGATAGATAGATAGATAGATAGATAGATAGATAGATAGATAGATAGGAGATATGTTTATGTTCAAAAAAACTCCTGGAAAGATTTTCAGTCCCTCCTGGTTCTTGGGCTCAAAACTCTTAGGAATAAAATTTTAAATTCATCAGCCAGGTTCAGTGATATTGTAAAAGGAAAAAAAACATGTAAACACAAAGACTTGCAAAAGCTTTAAAAATTAATGACACAGAAATTGAAAAAAATGCTTTAAGTCATATTTTGGGTTAGCTGAACACTAATGAACTAAATGAAATCAATAACACTTCTGGGGTATCAATTTGAACAAATAGCCATAGAGAAAGGATTTTGAACGTATTAATTTGATTTTCCAGATAAACTAAGCATTATTTTTAAGTCTTTAAAAAATGAAATAATTTTCCTTGAAGTATTAATGCTTGTGTATTATTGGTACTTCTGTTATGTTGATAATGTAAATATTTTACATTTATCTACAGCAGAAAGGAAGGAAAATACTAAAAGCATTTTAGGAAAATATGACCAGAGACACTAGCTTGAAAAGACAGAAAGACTTTCCAAAGTGACTTAGTAATTGTCTTAGGGTTTTAATTCTGTGATAAACAACATGATCAAAGCAACCTGGGGAAGAACAGGTTTATTTCATCTTACACCTTCTAGTAATCCATGGAAGCACATCATCCATGGAAGTTAGGGCAGGAATTCAAGGCAGGAACCTAGAAGCAGGAACTGATGGGGAAACCATAGAGGAACACTACTTACTTGCTTGCTCATGGCTTTCTCAGCCTGCCTTGTAATACCATCCAGGACCACCAGCCCAGGGATGGCACCACTAGCAAGGGGCTGGGCCCTCCCACATCAATCACTAATTATGAAAATACACCACAAGGCTTCCTGGGGGCAGCCAAGTGGGAGTATCTTCCCAACCGAGTTTCCCTCTTCCAAAATGATGGAAACCTGTGTCCATAAATTTTACTTGACATAAATACTAGCCAGCACAGTCATTAACAATGCTCACATCCAGGACATCACAAATCAACTTGAAAGTAAGTTTTAATACATTTTGCCTGGAGAGAGCTACTACCAATGTTTGACTCAAATAATAAACCAATGATTCTGTGGAACTATCTGAACACCTTCAGGAAAGTATGGTCTGTTTGTTTTTCTTTTGTTTGTTTGTTTGTTTGTTTGTTTGTTTGTTTTTCGCACCTGGTTTCTCTGTGTAGCCTCCAATGCAGAGATCCCCCTGCCTCTACCTTCTGAGTGCTGGGATGAAAGGCTTGTGCCACCACTGCCTTGCTTTGGTCTATGTTCGTTAAACAAAACTTCGGCTCCCAAGAAACTTGTAGCCACATTCAGCTGAGGCTGTAACACCAGGGACAGTGTAACTTTGTCCGTAATAAAATGGTGCTCTCTTATCACATGAGCACTCAATCAGCGATGGTTTAACTCATTACACAAAGTACAACAATCTATAGGCTCTGCTTGATTCCATAACTTCAGACATTCATATGCAAGTATGCATGAATGCATCCTAAATAAGCTTGGTGATATTTTGATGTTTTAGTTAATTGGCTTTCATTTTAACAATGTATGTGACGTTGCATATTTACAATGACTATACTGACAAGAGATGCTGGGTTTATGTAGACTTCTTAGGTCGGTCATGGGAAGAGGTAGTAAGAATCTTCGTTTTCAAGGAAGAAAATCAAATGAAGCATGGGTGTGGGGTTTTATTTCATTTTCTCTCTTTTCAGCGGGGTTTTAAGACTCCCTCTCTTTTACTCCTGTGATGTCCAGTTCTCCCACACTAGCAATCATGCTGTGGATATTTGCTACCTTTCCAGGGCCGGTCATCACCTACCTTTTCCCTCTTCTGTGCTCCACAGATTATTAGTTAGTGGACACCCCATACCAGAAACAGAAGAAACTTCTTTCCAAATCTTATCAGCCTCGGGGAACCTTTTTAGTGTGTGTATATTCAATACTCTTTCCTTCCACTACTCTAATGTCCAATTCATTGACTACATTTCAGAAAAACCGGAGGATTCGGCATCAACAGCTGCCCAGCACTGATGCACCAGAGTGGAAGAGCCTGCCCTGAGATTGTAGAAGCAGAATCCAGAGGCCACTCCTGATCGCCACTGGAGCATGTGACAAGCGGATGAAAAATGCCCTCTCAGCCTCTGGCCTGGGTTCCTCTCCGGTGGTCCCTCTGAAAATTTCAGAAGACCATCCTAGGAACCACCGTGCCCCACCCCCAAAGCAGCCCTGGACTGAATCACCAGAAAACGGCAATGGGAGGTACAATCAGGCTTACCAGTCCCCCGCAGAGACTGAAAACTGCAATGTGGTCCTCTCGCGCGTTGACCTGGCCACGGTAGAAGCAGTGGCGCAGGTCTGGGGGCTCCGCGCTGCTCCCGCCTAGACCAGGCGCCGGGGTCCCCAAGTGCACCTCGGTGTAGCCAGCAGCGAGGAAGGCCGAGTCAGCGCTCAGGTTCAGCTGGAAGAGGTGCCCGTAGGCGCTGATGCGGTAGTGGGTCCTGAGCGGAGTGGGCTCGGGCGCCCCGGAGCTGCGTTTCTTCCTGCTGAAGTGCCGGTTCTGGGGGAACACGTCTCCGAACTCATTGACCCGCACGGGGGTCACCACTTCGTAGGAGGCCAGAGTCTTCACCAGGGCTTCTGCAACACAGAGCAATGTCTATGAAGCCCCGACGCTGTCCAAACCACAAACTCTTGAACCAAGCATCCCCACTAAAGGTCCCCAGCCTTGGTCCGTTCCAGGGTCAAGACAGATGCACACGCAACACGTGGGCACTGTGACCATGCTGTGCTTTCCCACAGCTCCTATGTGTTCCACACAGACCCTGCTACCCACCACCACCCTGAGCAGTCACCTCCTTGCCAGCCCCTCTTCTCTTCCCTGCCGCCAACAACCCGTGTCCCCACGCGTGGCCGCCGCATGGCCAGGAGAGCGTGTCCCCAGCGCACGCGATTCCACGACATCCAGCGAAGCCCTCGGAGATGCTCGGAGCTGGCGGGCCTGGGGTCTGTCTAAGCGAGTCCGCACCACCCACTCGCACCCCGCCCTGCGCGCTGCGGGCAGAGCCCACGGGCGACCTTACCCTGTCGTGGGTGGAAACGAACTTCCCAAGACCCAGTGAGAAGGAGCGAGATCGGGCAGAGCAACCCGGTCAGCCACTTGGCCACCCGCATGGCTGCACGCTTGGGGGGTAGGGGGGTGGGGGGTATCCGGACAGGGAGGCCGCCCGGGCCGCCGGCTCCCCGCGCTCTGCTGCCCTCCTCCGCGCTCCAGCTATTCGCCGCGGCGCCTCAACAGCCTCCAGGGCCACCCGGGCGGCAGACCGACCCGCCTCTCCCCGCCACCGGACCCCGCTCCCGGTGCCGCTGCTGCTGCCTCATCGCTCGCAGCCCGCCTGGCTCTCGCAGGCCCGCGCCACCCTGGGAAGCGCTCACCGCCCGGCCCAGCAGGAACCGAGCCAAAGTAGCGGGGCGCGCGGGGCGGTGGAGAGCCCGCCCCCCCTTGCCGAGCCGGCCAATCAGCGGGAGGCGCGGCGGCTCGGCCTCCCGCGCAGCCCTAGCCCGGCGCAACCCCGCCCGCCGGCGCGCGCACCGGGACCTCCCCGGCTGCAGCTCGCGGGTCCCCGGGGCTGGCCAGACCCCACGCACGTTGACAGGTGATAGGTGCATGGAGTTTAGTTCCTCCAGTGAAATGACAAGTGTCAGAGAGGGGACTCTGCTGCTCACGCTGAGAAGTTCTTTGAGGCTTCTCACGCAAAATAGCCAACCAAGGATGGATGCTACCAGCTTGTGGCAAGGCTCAGCTTTCAGGGTCCCTGTGTGATGGGGACACTCTGGGACTTGGACGGGGCCGGGGGGGGGGGGGGTCACTGAGCTAGAAGACTTGTGCGTGGCTGTACCACTCCCTTGACAAAGTTCAAGGAGGCCACTGGAGTCTTCAGAGTTCCTGTGACATGTGATTGGGGTTGCCTGTCTAAATGTTTGGTTTATGCTTAAGTTTGCACAAAGAACTCTCCCCCAAAACTTACATAAATGTCAAGATCCACAAACCATCTGCCTATTCCTGGGGCCGGTCTCTCCACAGTATGAATTAAAGTCCTCCTTCACTGTTACCCTCTTCAACAATAGCTGTGGCTCCGAATCCATCTGCGTGGCCCGGTCGGTCGGTCCTGTTGAACTTGACAAACTTTATCAGGGAGAGAAAGGAGCCTCTTTTCAACACTACTTCCCGTGTCCTGGGTTCACCTGTTTGATTCGCAGGGTCTGCAGTTACTTCTCTTTACCGGAATGAAGACAAAAGAAGAAGGCAGCCTGGCTTGAAATCCAACCAAGGCCATTAAACAGAGGAGGTAAATCTTCGGGGACACAATGGGATGAATGCACTTCAGTCTGGTGTGTAGCCACTGCCGCACTCTGGGCTCCTGGCCATGGAAATTGCCTTCCGACGACGGTATAACCCTTCCTTTTATATCATCGGCGTCGTCCGTCTGTTGTCGGCGGCGAATGTGGAAGAACAGTTTCAGGGAGGGAGAGTTTGAACGTCTATTTGACGGCGACATCCCAAGCTGAGTGATGGTGTAAGTCATCTTCAGTCACTTCTCTTTCTCACAAGTGCCATTTCATCTGTCAGAGAATTATAGTCCTGGTAGGTCTTCCCCCAAGTTAGAATGTGGTGTTCCTAAAGAGAGTAATAACGGACTTTACCCACACCTGTGAATTTAACCCTTACCTTTACCATTGTACAGTGTGGGCACTTTAATGGCATGCAGCTCTGAATGCATCTTGGCATTGGGAGCCGGGTCTTTCTGCCTACAAAGAACCAGAACCAGAGCCAGAAAGTCGGGTAGCTTCAGTTGCTACCTGACTGCTGAGAGATACCTCCTTTCCATCACGGGATGCCCAAAGCAGTATTTGTAATGGAGTATTCCATTTCCAACATATTTAACATTTTGCAAATCATGTGCTAGTGGGAAGGTATGTGGGATATGTGCTCTGTGTCACTAGAAACTTTTAAATATATTTCAATTAGTTCTTTGAGATTGGCATACAATGTACTCACCTCCACTCCTCCCCCTAACTTCAGATCCACCCCCAACTTGCCCATGCTCTCCAAACTTCATTTCCTATTATTTTAATAACCTCCTGAGAAGTCCAGTTTCTACTGTCTGTATACTCATGGGTATAGGGTCATCCACTGGAGTGTGGTTAACCTACCGTGAAACTCATCTTCCCCAGAAAGCATCCTCTGACTACAGCTGGTGTGTGCACGTGAAGCCCTTCCTACTCCAGGCTAGAATGTCAAACGGCTTGATCTTAATGCAGGTTTTATGCAGGCAACCACAGCTGCTGTACAAGGTAACCACAGCTGCTGTGCAAGGTAACCACAGCTGCTGTGCAAGGCAACCATAGCTGTGGTACACAGCAATCATAGCTACTGTGAGCTTGAGCATCAGTCCTGTCATGTCCAGAACACAATTTGCTGCAGTTCTGCCTGCCTGGCTCTTCTAATCTTTCTTTCCACCCTGTCTTAGTGAGGGTTTCTATTGCTGTGAAGAGATACCACAACAACCACAACTCTCATAAAGGAAAACATTTCATTGGGGCTGGCTTACAGTTTCAGAGGTTTAGTCCATCATCATCATCATCATCATCATCATCATCATCATCATCATCATGTGACATGATGACATGCAGGCAAACACGGTGCTGGAGAAAGATCTGAGAGATCTACATCTTGATCCCTCAGGCAACAGGAAGTGAACTATGTACCACCCTGGGCATAGCTTGAGCATGTGATACCTCAGAGCCCACCCCTACTGTGACACACTTCCTCCAACAAGACCACACCTCTTAATAGTGCCATTCCCTGTGGGCCAAACATTCAAACATGAGTCTGTGGGGGCTATACCTATTCAAACCACCACACACCCCCTGTTCCGTGATGGCCCTGAGCCGTAGGAATGAGGTAATATAGATTTCCCATTTTATCTGAGAAAGCCACTAACTCTTATTCATTGCACTTGGACCAGTTTCTGCTTTAACCACTATCCACTATAGAAAGAAACTTCTCTTAATAGGAACTGAGGTCTGCACCAATCTATCATTATACAGCTGCAAGTTTAGATAGCAGTTTGACGCTGTGTCCATTGACCAGAATCATAGTGATAGATTCACACTCTAGGGCCTGTGAGCCTGTGTTTGGGGCCAGATTTACAATACTAAGCATACATTTCCTCTTAAATCCAATCAGAAAGTGATTAGTTACCCTCATAACATAGGAACCCATGGACATAGCTTGCCATTCCAATTATTGTAGTCCATAGGTTCAAAGCTGGGCAAAACTGTTGATAATAAACACCATTATTTCCCTCCTTTTATAGAAAATGTATGTTTGTTTTCATATAGTATACAGTTACTATGATAGTCTTTCTGAATTCAAATTATCTTTTGTTATATTAGTCTCTATGTAACAGTCCTGTTGTCTAGTTTTCCAACTGGTAAAAACTTCACAAATGAGCTGTTCTCAATTGCAGTTTAATCTAGCTTTTTCCCCACATTGATTGTTAGAGGTACCACTTAGGGAATTTCTCTGACACCCCAGACCTAACAAACTTCGGAAAAGTTACCTTATTTAATTTACTCATTGTCATATCATAAGAGACACAAGAAAAATCAGGGGATTCACTCAAGATTATCCACCAAATTAGCTTCAGGTTTCTTTGGTTTCAAATATAATAAGTTAAAAGAGAGTTGAACTCTTTATACCAGCTCAAATCTGATATATAATTGAAACCAGCAACAAGTCAGAAAATGAAAGTCATATTTACATCAAATACATTTTATTCGTAATCCAGACAAGGACCACAGTAAATACAAGCTTTGCAGTCAGCTTGCACTGTGAGAAATGCTCATATAGGCAGGAGTTAGGAACTTTGTTCAATAGTACTTATTTTGAAAGTTTTACTTCTGTAAAGTTGAATAATGTACCAAAAAAATAATTTTATCACAATTTTTTAGAATATTTTACCACACCATATTTAGTATAATTGTTGAAGTTGTGATCATTATTTTCTTTCTTCCTTTCTTTCTTTCTTCCTTTCTTTCTTCCTTTCTTTTCAGTGGTGGGGAATCCAGCAAAGGGTTTCTTACATGCTAAGCAAGACCTGTTTCATTGAACTGCTTTTCAGCTCATTTTATTAATAGTTTTAAGACATTATCATTGTTTCCAAGTATACAAAGAAAAAACAATTTCTGTGTCCTAATATATATGACAGTATACTCTTCTAACTGTTCTTTTATTTATCTGTGCTTCAGCACAGTTAATTACATTCATGTGAGAAGTGATTATTAATAGGTATTTGAGGCAGTTTCCTTAGCAGTAAAGATGTGTTCCCCCATGGGAGGCAATAAATAAACTGTTCAATAACTACTTAAATGCTAATATTGACATTTATATAGCCTAGGGATAAGCAAACACAGAACAGTCAATGTAACAACATTTTATTTTTATTTGGAACATTTATACCATTCACATTTAGTGTGATTGTTGAAAGGTTACATTCAAGTCAATAATCTCACTCTTTGCTTTCTATTTATACCATTATTCTTTCTTTTCCCTCTTTTTTGTCTTCTTTTGAACTAAATGAATATCCATTTTATCTCTCCTACTAGACAAACTCTTTTAAAATGTTCTAACTACATTTATTTATTTTATGTGTGAGTATGTGTGTGCTTCTGAGTTGGTTCTTTCCTCTCATCTGGTACATCCCAGGGATCAAACTCAGGACACCAGGCTTGGGCGCAAGCACTTTACCCACTGATTTTTACCTTAGCTTAACTCTTCGTTTCATGGTTTAAGTGGTTGCTTTAGAATTTGTGGTTATATCTCTGGCATGCACCTCTCTACTTTCAACTGTATACTAATGTGATTTACTCCTTCCCAAACACTTAACCTTGCATGTTATATATCTCCCACTGCATGGTTTGGATTTAAATACTGGATTTAAACAGTTATTTCCATCTTGGATTTCTTTAACATTTGGAATAGAACCTATGGATGAAGAATGCAAGTAAAAAAAAAATGTTGGTGTGGATCAGCTGTATATATACAAACATTATGTCAAGAACTTTAAAATATCAACTCATAACTTTTGAAGTGTCCAATGTGGAAATGCAACAGTTCAAAGAAGATGTAGAAGGAAAATAAGAGAACTGAAATACAGTGTTAAAGAATTCATAAGAGAATTAGAAGGTAAGTAAGTACTGTAACAAAATAAAATTTAAAACATGAAATATGTTTTTAAAATTATGAAAACACCAATAATAAATGTAGATAAAGCAAGAAATAACCACATTGAAAAGCCAATTTAAAAAAAAAAAAGAAGCAAGAAAGGAAAATTAGAAAGACAAATACGTGATGGGTAACCTTAATTG